ACAAATCCTTCGGGTTAATGTTATTGTAGATTAGATGTGTTATAGATTCACTATTGTTTTCTCGGTGTATTGAATGAAAGAATGGTTGGACACTTTTATATGGCGTAAGTATAAGAGGAGAATACTATTAGTGAGACTCCGAAGACAAAATTCCTCTCGCCGACACTGTTTATTTCATTTGGAATACCTTTTCGGACGACTGCATTCGACAAAAAAAAGAGTTTCGTATAAGTCAATAGTTCTTATTTAACTGGACGTGTACAACAACTAACGCTTGAATATGAATTGAATACTCCCGTTATTGGAGGGAAGATCATTCACGACCGGGGAACTTCTAAAAAGACATACACCGGCAGCAACTTTTTTCAACCTGTGGGGACTAAATCGACACGCGAAAGATATTTCATTCGATTGTATCACGTTATTCGGTTGCTAAATTTTTGGAAAAAAAACTTCACTTCTAAATAAACGAGTTTGTGATGAAGTTACGATAAGACTAAATCTACCTGGTCCATATATCGCTTGCTCTACCCCAGAAAACAACGGCACTTCTGGACACATCTGAAAGAACGGACAGGACATGGTCAGCCTTTCGAGCCAGGGTGTACCATTGACACTTGCGGGCCTCGACAAAAGCCAGAGTCCGAGCTTTTACTGTAGGCTTTGTTAACGAGAATAAGTGAAGAATATTGTCCCAGATTCCTTATTAGAAAAACAGTTTCGTTTACTCAATTGGACACTCCACCTACATTTTCAGTCTTAGGATATCTACAAAAAAAGTTTCATGTAACTTGTATCATTGGTACATTTAATAGCAAAGATAGGTTTTGTTTTGTAATGAATGTCCACTTTTTGGTGGCAACTTCTACTCATCATCTGTTTGTCTAAAACCTTAGGTTGATATGTATATAATTCATGGGACATACGTTCTAACTACGTTTTGTCCACTGTAAGCTGGAAAAAATCTCTCTAAATCTTGTTTTCGGCGGGTAGAGACCCCAGTAAACCCGTAAAGGTATAGAGACCTTGGGTAGCCAGCTACACCATCTAACTGTAGAGAAAACTTGCAATCCCGTTATCGGTGCTGCCCTTCAGGATTTTAGGTAGATTTGGTAATGGTAACTCCTCACTCTCACTACCGCGTGTTTCAAACGGGTTTGGACTTTCGGAGACAAGTGGAGACTACCTTTTATGCAACATAAAGGTATTTACAGATAACCTACCAAAGCACATTAGTAAAAAGTTTCCGGTCTCTGTAACTAATTGGAAGTACCGCAGAATATACGCAAAATTTCGGGAACTTGTGCGCGGCCGCCCCCGTTAGCCCGAAGGGGACCGAGTGTGTCCTCGGGCGTGCGTGGTGGCGGAACACAAAAAACTCCTTCGAGACACGGGAGCGAGACCGCGCGCGCCTTCAGAAGTCGACTCACGTCCACGCTATTATTTATGTCGTCGGAGTACTGAAAGGTTGCAATATAGTCCACTCAAAGGCAGAGGAATGGTTCTAGTGTTTGAAGTTAGTAGTGACATATATGGAAATATATAGTCGGAAATAGACATGGTTCCGAAACAAGGTTGACGAGAACCTCATTCTATTTTGGGTGAGAAGCAGCACACGTGGAGGTGGGCTACAGAGACCAGAAAGACGCTGTGACAGAGGAGGGGGAAACACGAGGAGTGTTGTCCTGGGTAGTGAGTGGTGAGAAGCGACCCCAGCTTCGGTAGACTGGGACTTCGGGACGACTAACACCCTCAACATATCTGGCAGGTTTGTTTGTCTGCCCTAGAACGCTCGCGCTCTAATGGCGTGATTATGTTGTCGTTTTACCGCGTCTAAAAAATTTCCGGCGGATAATAGTTTTCAGGCGTATTAGGGAGTAAAAAGGTGTTCAACCTTTTTTTTTCACTTGAGCAGAACTGCACTTCAGTCACTACTACTACTGCACTAGTCGAGCCGCGCTAGTGTCCTGCCATTTGGTTGTGGCATCTCACTGTGCACACCTAAGTAGTGTCCTGTAAAGACATGCCTCTTGCCCGTTTCGTCGATGGGCTGGACAGAAAAGTGTTGTACCCCTGTTGATAAGACGTGGGGCCGCTTGACACACAACCGTCATATTCCTTTCTAGCTGTCGTCACTTGCTGGGTGAAACTGAAGAAACGTTGTAAGCTTTACGAAAGACGACGGACGCGTTCTTTACGGTTGTGAGTGCAAGTGGCTACGTAGTTGAAGGTTGCGGAGAATCTCCCGATGTTCTTTGCTTCGTACTCATGCGGATGTCTCGAACTTCGACCAGCTCTATGCTGTGCTCATTACCGTTTTGTCTTACTGCACCGCCGTCTTGCACACACACACAACACAGCACACGGCGGACACACCCGGAACACACACACACACACGACGCGCGACACACACACACACGACACACACACACACACACACACACCACACACACACACCACACACTCTAATTTATCCGTTAAAGAATAAAGTGTTTTTTATTGTACAACTTACACAATTACACTAGCATTTCCCAAATTGCGAATCACGGTCTCACACACCACTCTCCTCTGTATTTATTCTGTCGGGTTTATAAATTTTTTATACTATATAATAGAGAAAACCGTTGAGGCGTTAAAGTGAGCCGGGACTATATGGCAAGCTTCATAAACGATCGGTAACACCTACACACACACCAGACGGACAAAAAACACTGATGTGTATACAGATATATTTAAGAAGTACAATATAAGACAAGCTCAAGTTTCATTTGGGTCATAATCCATTATACTTTTTGAATTTGCTGAGGGCCGATTCAAAATGGACCTTGGGCCGCATTTGGCCCCCGGGCCGTAGTTTGGACGCCCCTGAGCTAAATGAAATGTAACGAAGTGAAGAAACCTTGAATGTTAGTCTTTTTCATGGTTCAAGGTTCTTTATTGTCAAGCTAACATAGCTACAGAGTAATTATGTCGTTGAAAATCTTAGGTCACAGGCTTCTCCAACAATGCAACACTAATACAGATAAGCAGACGAATGGGGCTGTTTTCTAACTGATGAACAACGATTTGATGTTTTCCTTCTGTTTCCTCCCCAGGCGTCTCCAGCTGCTTTGGCTAAGAGCGTTTTAGCGGAGGTGCCCAACCAGGTGGTGGATTACTACAACAGCAAGGGCATCAAGCCCAAAGTGCCCAGCCAGTTCCAGTCTTCCAGGCAGTTCGGACCCTGAGCAGCCTCTCCTGGACTCAGAAAATGTTCACCGTGTTTTGTTCTTTGTCGATGCGGATGTTAAAGGTGCTAAATGCAGTGTTTACCATGAAGGAGGGGCTCATTTTAAATGTGATCACTGGAGCAACAGGTGTGTCAGCTGCATTAACATTGGGAGGCAATTGGACGTATTGGAAGTTGTTGGATTGCTTTACAGCACAAATCAGATAGAAAATGCTTCATTACCTGGTGTTATATCTTAAGGTGCATACACTGGTCATACCATAACAGCTGAGATACACCAATCCAAAGACCAATGAGTTATTGTCATCAGTCTCAACGAAGGCAGCGACGAATCCTGACTCGGTGCAGTTTCTCAACATGCAATGATAGGCGTCTTGATGCTAATAGTTTGAAGGCCAACATATAAAACTGTAGCTCAGGGTGTTTGGATGCACAACATACGTGGATAGTGTGTTTCGACCTCCTCTAGTGTTCCTGAACGCAGACGCATGAGTCTAGAAATATGATCAATATGACACGTTAAATGTGGACCTGAGTATGGTACATGCAGAGCTTAGAGCTAACATCAGGCTGAAGGAACCTATATTGCTAATTTCCAACTTTTTAACATCCCTAACATCATGGTCCAAGTTCTAATAACCATTCAAATCAGGGTTTACTCTTATTAGTAGCAATTAATAGCCTGTTATGTAATTACCTAGATATGTAGCATTTCATATTTAAGAAGTGTAGCTTACGTTTGTGGTTCTCTATTATATTGTGATAATGTTTACAATGAAAGCCGGTCATGACATCAGACAGATCAAAATCAGTCGAAAATGACCACGTATATCTATGCAGAGCTTTTGCGTAGGAAAAAATGACGTAGCAAATATTTTTGTGCTGAGCAGAAACTAAGGAAGCTAACGTATTAGCTTTGTCGCACAATGCAATTTAAGGAAAACATCTTCCTCTTTAAGTGTATAAACTGCCAAACATGATTAACTTTTCATTTCTAACTAGTAGCAAGTCAGCTAGACTTTTGAGGTATTTATGCTAGCTTGCAAATTACTCTATAGCTAGCATGTTATCAGTTAGCACACCCGCGACTGCTAGCTCATGGACAAATATTCAAGTAGTCACAAAGCTGCCAAGGCTTCCTATTGGTTGTGTAAATTTCAGTGACATGAAGGCTCACACGTTTGCTATCTTTAGTTATTTACTATCCCACATTACATGAACACATAAAGGAGGCTTCATCTCATCTCAGTCTAACTTATGTTCCATGTGTAAAAATGCTAACTGTCGCACCTTTAGCATCCGTTGTGCATGCGGGGCCTGCAGAGTCCGAGCTGATCGTAACATTCAGGCGTGTTTTACTGGACGTTAAAACCACACAGACACAACACTGACCAATCCTAACGCTGCTTTCCTGCAGACAGCATGACAGGTAAACAGGTAAACAGTGAATGAAGGAATGTATGACCCCCCCCCCCCCTTCTGGTTTGGTTTTCTAAGAGTTTGTGGACATTTTGCTACATTTCGTAAGGTTCGTACGTTGTAAAGCATTTTGGATCTCTGCCTGTTGAAAGAGCAAGCTGCCTTCACAGACGTCTGCATCCTCTTCTGTTCTTTTCTAAAGGCGGGGCAGATGCATGAGCTGTTGTTTTGCATGCAATCTCTATGCAGGGCTCCTCGTGTGGTTTCTGTTCCCTGGTAGTGAGTAATACGAGTACTAATGATGTTTACAATGTTCCCGTTGACGGGGCTGTTCTACTCTCGAGCATGTTCACATGTAAGCAAAAATGTGTGAGTAGATTTAAGAGCACAACCTGAGTGTACTTGGAGAGTTTTTTTAGATTAGGGTAATATATTTCGGTCACTGTGCAGCAACACCTGCCCTTATCTCTTTCCGTCTCTGAAGAACTGATTCACTTTCTATTGGCTTTACTTTGGACGTATCCAATCTGGACCTTTGATGGGTGCAAACAGACTTTCTCAATCCTTGTTTTCTATTTTTAGGAAAGGACATGTACTTCAAAGATATCTGCAGTTTGCACACACCCTAAGTCAGGATCAGATTTCACATCCTATCCATTAATTCACCACCACATACTCAGATCTAGGAAGCTTTTGCAGGAGACTCAACAAGGCAGTCCGGACGTCCTTATTCCCCGGTGTCTGTTAGGATTAAGACAATTTGGCCCTAAGTGTTTCTAGACTTTTATACTAGCTAACCATCCATCTCCGCTTATAGAAACCCAGGCTAGGAATTAGTGGTCCTCCAGGGAAGTTCTGGTCCTGGTATCTTTCTGGTAGGACATGCTGACACTCCCCAGGCAAAGTGTCCATGATGCATCTTAATCAAAGCCCAGATCCATCGTAATTCACTCCAAGGTCTGGATCACATTTTACATTTATCACCATTTATCCAGGTCTTTGTCTCAGGTTAAGCAAAGTTACATCCTTAAGTTACCCCTCCAAACATCCCCTCTTTCCTCCCAGTTGGACCTGGAGAGAAAACCCTCTACAGGAAGGCGTCTTCAGAACCACCAACCTGTTCACGAAGTTACGTTTCACTCAACAAATGTAGTCATTTGAACTCAAACCAAAACCTTTGTTGAAGTTTGTGTTCAAAACTAGCTTTCGATTTCCTGAAACTGCATTTTGCATTCAAATTGGATTTCCATTTTATTCCCAACAGACCCTTTGAGTTCAGTGTTTGTGATTGCAGATGTATTATTTGTAGTGATTACATTAATGTGCTAGACTTGTGTTTGTTGAGATGAACAAAGATAGAAAGATGGCGGACAGGTGTTGGGTCACGTGACTTACCGTTGTGTTAACATGCAGTATTGTGTGCAAAACAATGATAAATGACTTAAAATAATAAAAGTTTTATCAGTAAGCTCTGAGTGGGCTCAGTTATTATCAGTGGCGGAGAGAAGATAATTACATTTACCTGTGTACTATAGTTTGACACACTTGAGTATTTAAATTGTATGCAACAATGTAATTCTGCTTCACTCCATTTCAGAGGCAAATATAATAATTGTTAGCTTTTAGCTCAGCGATGAATGCTAGCTGCAGAATGTATATTTAATGAAATGAATCTGTCTTCTTATAATAAGAGTAATCATAAGTCCTGGATGGATATCCTCGTGGATTCATCTTCCTATTATACACACATCCATTTCCAAACATTTGGACTACCTATGTTGCAAATGTATTATCTCTTAGATTTACACACGGCATCTATTGCACGTCTGTCCGTCCTGGGAGAGGGATCCCTCCTCTGTTGCTCTCCCTGAGGTTTCTCCATGTTCCCTTTAAACTGTGGGTTTCTCTGGAAGTGTTTCCTTGTACAATGTGAGGGTCTAAGGACAGAGGGTCTAAGGACAGAGGGTCTGAGGACAGAGGGTCTGAGGACAGAGGGTCTAAGGACAGAGGGTCTAAGGACAGAGGGTCAAAGGACAGAGGGTCTAAGGACAGAGGGTCTAAGGACAGAGGGTCTAAGGACAGGGGGTGTCATATTGTCTTCTTTATATATATAAATAAACAGTGATTGATTGATTGATTGATGAATGGGTTGCGTTAGCACCACACTCACTCAAGAATAAGAAAAGTATGAAAAATGCCGATGGCGTGAGCACATGGCTCAATGACGTCATTTCTTGTGATGTCGCGAACGAGCCGGCACTCTTTTAAACGAACGACGGGAGCCGGCTGATGATCTCCGCGCTGCGGGTGCCCCGTGCCTGCAGTGAAACGTATTATCAAAGGACAGGAGACGCTTGGATGCTGCTGTTTCCAGCATTGCAATATATTTATTTTCACTATGTTATTTATTTATGATTATCTTTAGGCTCAGCAAAGATTTGATGTCAGCTGTTGCTGTCTTTTTGTTTGAGTTAATACTGAAATAGAGCCCTGCTGTTTTGTCAGGGCCTTTTCTTTAAATATCATTTTAAAATGTTGATACAGTAGCGGTCCTTTTTTTAAATGTCTATGCTTAAGTTGTTTTAGGTGTTGCCGTCTGTTTTGTGTTGCGTGGTTCTACAAGCCACTCAGTGCATTCACTGGGGGGTATCAGAGAGTTAAGGGTCTGTCAATACAATGAAAACAATCGGCCACAGCAAATCATTTATAGTAACATTTTCATTTTTACTTTTGAATACTTCAGAACAAAGGATGTGCGTGCTGCACACATATAAATGATTAGTCAAAACAGGGCTCCGTTTGACTGAACTGTAAAAGTGTGGTGAAATGAAGAGCCGTTTGGGAGCCGGCTCACTAAGAAGAGCCGGACCTCCCCTCTCTAGTCATTTCCTCTTGATCATGTGACCAAACAGGTTGTGCTAACATGGCTGTGTGCATTTAGTTGGACATACATTCAGTGTAGGATTACCGTTATTCAAAATATGTTAACAGACAGCAAAACACCTTTATGTAAAGACGATTTTAGCCACTCCCACACAACATCAGAGACTGTACGGACCCCCCCTCCCCCCCCTTCAAAACACTGACTAAAACTCACCATTTTTGGACTAGCTTTTAACGTGTGATTGATGCCGTGTGATAAATATGGTTTTGTTGATTTGAATCAGATCTTATAAAGTGACCTCTTTAAAGCTTCTTTCAGCACCGGATGAAGCACTTGATAAAGCAAATGTATTATTATTAGGAAGAAGAGACACGAGAAAAATACTATTTTAGGGGATGCTCGAGATATTTAATTAGGGTTAGGCTTTTTCTACATATTTATTTCCATGTTGCCTAAGGACAATTATATCTAACACATGCATGTTTTAGCAGGTTGGCCATGGGCGAGGTGGGACAGGTGTCCTCCAAGTCTGGAATGATTCATGTTTTTGCCTACTTTGACTTAAATATTGGTTTAAATGCAGGACTTGCACACTGTAGTAATATCTGAGTTGTTCTCCCCCCTGGTTGTTTGATAAGAAAAGACCTTCAAGTTATTTCATTGTTTGAGAATGTTTTCCAGACATGAATTGCTTCTCCCGGTGAGAGTGTGTTGGTGTGTGTGTTGTGTCCTGCGAGGCTAAAGGAGAAGATGAGGGGGTTTCCAAACAGCAGCGTAGGTGATCAAAGCTCTCGGCTGTTTGCTCAGGAGGCGTGATAACTTCATCCACAGGAGGCCATTATCTCTGCAGGACAAAAGAGGGCGAGACACTGGACAGGAAGCTGCCGCCACAGAAAACACAACGAGACGGGTTTGTGAAGCAGTGTGAGAGTCAGAGAGCTGAACATCTATCGTTGCCAGGCTATTGATCTGAGGGAGGACAGTTATCCAGAAACACCAACCAGTCGATAATCCCATTAGGAAGATATTTCCCAGTTGAGACCCTAACCCTAAGATCTGTTTGACTTCCTGATGAAGACTTTATGGTCTAACGTGACTATGACTTTCAAATGAAGATATTATAATTGTTTAAAAAGAGACGGCCTTGGAGTCTGTTGTTGGTGTTGCTTCTATGTATCCTCATCCAAATGGCACCTAAACAAAAGCTCCTACTGAAGCCTTTTCTGAGCCTGATCCCATGTGTCTGAAACTCCTTGATCCCTGAACACCTGATATTCTCTACCTAACAAACCAAACCAACAACAGTACTGACCAATCAGAACGGATTGGGCGGGTCATGCCTGCACCTGTGTGTATTTATCAGATCAGTGTGCGTTTGTTTTTCAGGGGGACGAAGTTTTGGACAACATCGGCTTTAGTTTCTGGGTGAGGGTGTTTCAGAATGACAGCCACCACTACTCTATTTCTGAAACGTAGCCCAGCAGTCTCACCATCTAGCTCAATGAATGTGAAACAGGAAGGAGTCCATGCGAAAGTTATTCTAAAAAAACAGCAACATTTATTAACAGTAACTTTAAATGAAACTATGGAGCCTGTAGATTTCATTTTTAGAAGCGTCTTCTCTGATTTCTAAGTGGATTTCTGTAGTTCTTACTTTCTATTGAGATCATGAAACATCAGACTGTATTCTATGAATGTGAAGTTAAACTCTGAAGAAGAGGAAGGAGAAGGATGGATATGTATGTCTAAACGTCCTGCAGTATCTCCGGCTCCTTCATTTGACCCGGTGTACTGGGGCAGTTATCTTCACAGCTACCGTTGACCCTATTGATCAGTTCCCTTTGGGACAGAGTCATGTACATATAGCAGCCAATCAGACGCCGCCTGTCGACCTGACATGGATTTTTTTAGGACGAAGCAGCAAAGACAGGAAACAGGAGCCGAGGTTAAAATGTTCTGCAGATCACAGGATGACCGGGAAACACCTGAAGGGCGGCGCCAGATCCAGCTTTAACCTTTAGCCCTAAAATGGGAATTCAAATATAAATAATTTGGACAATTCATTGCTATCATATACATTACACCCACGTGACACCCATGTGACACCCACGTGACACCCATGTGACACCCATGTTACACCCACATGACACTGTTATTCCACCTCTAGTAAACAAAGGAGTCTAATGGAGGCGTTTCAGGTAAAAACACAGAAACATGGAGCCTGCGTCTGCTTTCACAACCCTTAACTTTTCTCTTTTATTTAAAGTAGACATTTAGTTTGTTTATTGGTTTAGACATTGTTTTGTTGTTGTTATTTTTTGCCTTGCAAAGCTGTTTCTCCTGTGTGTTTTTTTGTCTGTATTGTTTTCTTCTTGCTCTGTAAGCTTTGTTTTGTCTCCAGATTGCACATTTATTTACTGCAAGGCCTAAAACAGCAGGTAAAAGAACAAACACACAGGAAGTGGGAGGTATTGTCTGGCTTTCACACTCAGACAAAACACGTACACAAAAACACCTAAAAACAGTCCTGTGGAGAGAACATCAGCGATTAGGACAATATCAAAACAGTTATCATCGAGGTGCAGTAATGCAGAGCTATAACCCAAAGACGATTGGTCATTATGATTCATCCGGAGGGGAATATACTTGATCATACTTTAATAAAAAAGCTGAGAATGTTTCTGCAACAGTCTAAAGGCTAACAATATGAAAACTTTGAACAGGGAAAAGTAATTTTTAAAGCTTTTTATCCATGTTGGCAGGACTCAGCAGAAACTCCGAGTCCCAATCTGATTGTTTTAATTAAGCTGACCCTGTTTCAGACTTTCATTAAAAAGGTTCACCAGGTCTTTAATTACCTCACTGACGGCTAACGAGAGGTTAACGAGGAGCGTCCAATCAGAGGACATCGATTTGAACACGAGATACAAAAAACAAAAATCTAATAACTTTAAACCAGCGCCAAAGGAGCACTCAGAGTTTAATGTGTGAGGAGCTTCTATTCTTCTTTATTGTCCTTCAAGGGGAGATTAGACACAACGATGAGAGGGAAATCTTTACAAATATCTTACTTTTGTGTGAGCAGAAAGTATATTTATCTTTCCTGCAAATTATTGATTTACTTGCAGTGGGAACAAATGAGTCTGTGACAGAGATTCCCAGAAAGATGATTAGGGCCACATGTTGAGATTAGAGATTATAGTTAGCATTCTAAAATACATTTAATCTCAAGATTCAGATTTTTTTCTAAGAACTTTGAAAAAAATGCAAACTTTTAGTTTTTGAAGAATCCTGCCCTTTCTTAGAATTCTTACTTTTTCTAAAATGTTTAACTTTTTTCCAAAATATTTCACTTTTTTCTAAGAAATTTGACTTTTTCTAAGAGATGTGACTTGTCCTTGGAATATTTTTCTCAGAAATTAATTTTTTTTTAAGAAGTTTGACTTTTTCTTAGAATTTTGACTTTTTCTTAGAATTTAGATTTTTTTTTCACTAAATGTTTTTAATTATTCTTAGAATTTTCACTTTTTCAAAAAATCTGCATTTTT